GGTTTAAATGGGTAACTCCCTAGTTGGGTTATAGATATGGCATCTAGTGTAGAACCTGTGGGCAGACTACTTAAATAGGCACTCAAAAGATGCATGTGTGGCTAGTTGTATCTTCATTGTAATTGTAATAGTAAATAATTGCTAATAAAGAGTTTCCATGGCCAAAGAGATCACCCTAACACTAAAAAAAAATAAATTATATATTAGATATTAATGCAGATGATTCTTTTGTTCAAATTTTAGAATTATTTGCCAGTAATATTTTCTAGAATAGTAATTTAAGAAAGTATAAATCAATAGTTTGGATATACTTTGATAGAGAAACTATTAAAAATTTTGGATAACCAGTTTGTCTATATATAGAAAAGTATATAAAAGTTCTACTAAAGTTTCTACATTAAGAAGATATCTTGATAAATACTAAATAGAAGTATCTAAAAAATAACAAACTATACTTCATATCTTTTGAACCAACTCTATAATGAACTAGAGCAACAAAAATAAGATAAAAAATTGATTTTTTGGTCAATTGTAGACCAACAACCCTTTACAATAGTCAATAATTAGTACTTCTATAAATTTATAAATATTTTAAATTCTTGTTATGTTGTTTCTACTAAACAAGCTGCAAAGAATATGATAATTGATAAATTTAATTAATAACTTGAAAAAAATTAAAGATTATATTAAGCATATTCTAGATAAAATCTTTTTCATTACAGATATGTAGAAATCATTAAAAAATGGGGCCTTACTATTCATTACATAGATTCTGATTAGAGACTTTAGTATTTTTTATTAAATATAGTCCCTTTTGCAATTAGATATACATGTGTTAATATATCAGAGACCATTAGTCACATTTTTAAAGAATTTAATCTAAATGATAGAGTAATAGCACTTACAACTGATAATAAATCTGCTATATTAATATGTAGCTATGTATTAGCAAAAGAGTTAAAAAATAAATTTGTAATATTGAATTTTCTTATTATTGGTACATGGTGCATGTTTTGAATCTTGTAGCAAAACAAGGTTTAATTATAGTTAATTCAGCTATGAATAAAGTACAACAATTAATAACAAAAATCAAAGCATCAGTTTGTCTTTATGATGAATTACATGCATTATGTAATTTTAAAAAAATTAAATATCTAAAAGCAAAGCTAGATATAGAAGTAAGATGAAACAGCACATTTTATATGTTACAAAAATTTAAAAACATGAAATTAGCTCTAAATCTTTTTAGTATTGATAACAACTCAATTGCTGAATTATATTCTAATCATAATGATTAACAAAAATTATAAGTAAATATAGTCATTATTATTATAATATTAAGTTTGAGCTATAAAACTAATGATAGTATATAAAAATATTAAATACAAAACCTTATAATCTTGTTGAAACCATTAGAGAAAACTACAAGGCATCAATTAGCTGCATTTTATCCAACTCATAGTAACATTCAGTTTGTTTTTAAAGTCTTCAATGACATCTGGATATATATATCAAAAAAAAAGGTTTTTTCAAAGTAACATAGCTATCTATATGAATAAAAAATTAGTTAATTACTAGAAAATAATGAATAGCTTTTTAGTAGTATTAGCAGTCCTTAATCTATGCATTAGGCTTAAAATTTTTAGTAATATTACAAACCAGGAAAATGCTACCAATTTAACTTATCAAGTCTCAATTTTAGTTATCTGTGCCATATAATAATATGAATAATGAATCTGGACTAAGCACTACTTGACAATTTTTTTGGCAACTAGGTCCACAAGACCTTCAACTACTCCATATTGACATGAAGATTCTAATATTCAAAGCCAATTTACACCTAATAATGAATTAGATAATTACCTTTACTCTTTGCCAGATAAAAATGCAAAACCACTGTTCTGGTAGAAAATTCATCAAAAAGATTATTCAATTCTTTCAATGATTGCTTGCGACTATTTCTCTATTCAAGTGACAAGCGTTGCTTGTGAGCAGGCTTTTTCTGTGGCAGGTAATACAATCACCAAAACTTGAAATCGGCTTTATCCTGAAACCGCAAGAGCTTGTCTTTGCGTAAAAAGCTGGATTAGTAATAACATTGGTGGAAATAAAAAGTAAAAGGCATTATTATATAATTAAAATACATAAAAAATATATAAAATATCTTTACTGTGCTTAGTATTATAAATAAATATACTCTTGATCTTCTTGACTTTAAAGCTAAAAAAAAAATCTAGTTATTAAAATTTTGCTCAACCAAATATAAAATCTTTTGTTAATAAGTAAATCCAATAAATAACTCTTGCGATCCAGAGTTAAGTAATATGTATTACTATATACAGTATACAGTGCCTACAGTATATACTGCAGTTTGACATGATATTAGAAATCGAACCAACCAATCAGAGAAATTCAAATAGACCGGTCTATAGTCTTCAGTCCAATCCACAGTTCAAAAATTAAACCGGTTTTTTTGAACCGGGACCGGACCGGACCGGACTGTAACATTCCTATGCTCCTTTATGCCTTCTAATTTGTAATATTACAGAAAAAAATGCTTTATGTTCTTGTTTTTATTTCATAGCTGTAAAATATGTTATTAATTTTTTAATTATGATATTCTAATATATGAATCTAATTGGTCAACTAGATTATATTGAAGATCATATTGAAGTAGATATTCAACAAACCAGGCACAGATTCAAAAATTGCATGATAAATCGGTCATATTTTCCAAATTTTATATAGTTATTGTATACAAAGTATGCAATAACTACTGTATTTTATGGATTATGATGATTGGTTGGTAACCCAGCCATACTGGCTGGATTACCGAACGATCAGAAGAGAATATAAAATACAGCAGTTAGTGCATACGGAGCATGCAATAAAGGTTTTATTTTATGCTTTACTATCTCAGATTTATGAAATAGATCAATTATTTTATTATTTAAATATACTATAAAATAATTGATTTATTTTATAAACTGATCATAGTAAAGTATTAAATAAATAATAGAATTTGAATATTTTTGTGGCGGAACCTATAATATGTACGTAGAGTTTTCTCGATTCTTTTTAGTTGCATAATTTTGTATCACGTATTGATGAAATTTTTTTTGGTGGCAATTTTACTCAGTTAATTCTGATTGATTCTACTAATTATTCATATATTGCAGTATCTGTGCCTACATACGTACAGTACGTACGTATAAGGATTACACAAGACCAAATCTGTTCAACCACAGTATCTGCATATATTGTGTACGGGTGATAGTCTATTCCATAGTTATTTTACATATTCTTGAACAATTCGAATGGATTGAGCAGTTTGAACAGTTTGAATAGATTGAATTAAATATAAAAGAAAAATTTACTATTGAAAATTAAGCGTATTTTAGCCTCTTACATAAAGTTTAAATTTTTATAATAATGCAACGTTTGAGTACACTAAATTAGTACAAAAAATAATCAATAATGTTTTATTCAATTAACCAACTTGAAGTTTGATAATTGCCCTCTTCTAATAATCAATTAACCAACTGAAGCGTTTAAAAATTTTATTCTTTTATTATATATAAAAAAAAAAATGAAATAACAATGAATCAAAATGCAGAAGAACTTTATCAACTAGGACAAAAATATATAGAAGGTGTTTATTTTGGAATAGATAGAAAAAAAGCCTTTGAGAATTTTAGAAAGGCAGCTGATTTGGGTCATTTATGTGCTTTAGGTGAATGTTATCGATATGGAATCGGAGT